TGTTTAAGTTGATTATATCGATTTTCTTCCATTTTTAAAACTTGAGCTGTCAATCACAATGTTGACACTTTCGCTTTTACTCTGTTATTTCATTGATGTTGGAATAAAATTATTGGAGTATGGCGAACAATTATGCATAAGCATTTTCTTGTTAAACAAGTAAAAGTTCAGTCCACTATAAGTCATTAGTTAAATAGTTAGGATTCATGTCAGGATGAATTTTGCCACATTCAAATCCAATAATACAATCATGAAGAATGATTCTATAAGATAAATTATGTTTGCATGCCTTGCAATACGTGTGAATGTGATGATTTTTAATATCACAAAAGTCAGTACATTTAGAGCCTCCCTTGGTAATTGGTTGGTTTGCAATTACTTGCTTGACTTTAATATTTTCCTTGTAAATTTCAATCATTTCATCTTTTGGACATTGATATCCAACAGTAATCAATAAGTGATTTTCAAATTGGTTTATCAATTCTTGCTCAAAATAAGATTCACTATCATTTTCTTTCATGCTATTTTCTGGTGAAGAGATATGCCATTGGATTTCTTTTTCTTTCGATTCATCAAAGCTTTCATCAGTTTGTACAGAAATCATATAAGTTTCCATAATTTCGTCAGAATCTTCATTTTTGTCAGAATAAATTCTGGATAAGGTGTCAGCATTTGCATTGTTTTTGCCTGAACGATGTTAAATTTGAAATGTATACTGCTGAAGATTTAATAACCATCTAGCTTTTTTTGTTCGATTTTTTACAGTTGAAGTTTGTAACTATTTCAATGCTGCATTATCAGTTACTAAGATAAAGGGTTTTAAAGAAGTATAGTGATGAAAATATTCAATTGCCCAGTTGATCGCTAGACATTCTAATTCTTGTGCACTATAATTTTGTTCATGTATATTAAGAGTTCTACTTGCATAGGCAATTACTTTCTCTTTTTTTTGGTCATCTTTTTGTGTGAACACAGCTCCTAGTCCAATTTCTGAGGCGTCCGTGAATAGATAAAACATTTTATCAAAGTCTGGGTATCCTAATATTGGAGCTTGTGTCAGTTTTCCTTTCAAGGTTTCAAATGCATTTTTACACTCTTTAGTCCAATCATATTCAACTCCTTTCTTTGTCAAGTTATTTAAAGGTTTGGCAATTTTTGAGAAATCCTTGATAAATTTTTGATAATATGATGCTAATCCAAGAAATCCTTTAATTTGTCTCACATTTTTTAGTACAGGGAACTCTTGAACTTTTTCTATTTTCTGGGAGTCTGGTAAGATTCCATATTCATTAATTTTATGTCCTAGGAATCGCAATTCTCTTTTGAACATTTCACATTTCTTTTTATTCAATGCTAAATTCGCTTTCTTCAGTTTATGAAAGAGCATTTGAAGGTGTCTACAGTGTTCTTCAAAACTGTTTGAATAAACGATAATATCATTAATGAAAACTGCTATAAATCGGTCAATATATTCTTTAATACTTTATTCATTGTTTTCTGAAAGGTTGTTGGAGTGTTACATAAATCAAAAGGTATAATATTAAATTCATAATGTTCTCCTTTAATCACAAATGCAGTTTTCTCTTTATCCTTAGGATTCATTTCAATTTGCCAAAATCCACTAGCTAAGTCAAATGCTGAGAACCATTTTGCTCCATTTAAGTTTTCTAAGATTTTATCAATTCTAGGCAAAGGATAGGCATCTTCTCTCGTGAGTTTATTGAGTCCTCTATAATCAATACATAATCTTTTCTTTCCATTTGCTTTCTTTACAAGAATTGCAGGTGATGCTCATGGACTGTCAGATGCTTGAATAATTCCTTCACACAGTATCTTCTTAATTTCTCTATTGATAAATTCCTGTTCTTCCTTTGTCATTTGATAATAATTTTTTCTAATTGGATCAGCATTTCTTGTATATTGAACTACATTGGTTCTTTCAACTCTAGTTGATTGTCTAGTCTCAGAAATGTTGGTGACAAATCTGTCTTTATTTTCCTCCATCAGAATGTCAATTTCCTTTTGTTACTTTGGGATAACAACTTCCTCTTTTATCACTTCAGCTTGCATAGTTTCTGCAAGACTATTAGGCAAGTTATTCCATATAATTCAATCTAATATTTCATTAATAAATGTCGTGTGAGTCAGGGTAGTTTCTCCTTGTTTAGCTATCTCTTTATATTTCAAGAAGCTAATACGAATCCAAGGTCTATTTTTATATTCTTCAGTTTGTTGTAGCTTAGTTCCTTTAGAAATCTTTGTTGCGTATACACTGCAATTAAATTCTGGATTATTGAATAGATATTCTAAGTCTTCTTCCTTGACTTTTATTCCAGTTTCTTCTTCAGTTTCTCGCACTGCTGCTTTAATTGGGTTTTCATTTCCTTCCACCTTTCCTCTAGGAGATTTCCACATTCCATACATAACTTCTCCTTTTCTAATTAAGAGAAATATACCATCTTTATCGTACAGTATATTGAGTATATATTTAGGATGATTAACTTCCTCTTCATATGTTTCTACTTCGTCAAGTCAAGATTGATTTAAATTCTTCTTCCAAGTTTCGTTCCAGAGGTCTGTATCTTCTTCTTGTTCTTCAATCTCAACGATATAGCTATCTGTTTCTTCTTCATCATCATATTCTAATCCTTGTTCGATCATTTCATCAAGTTCGTCCTCAATGGTTACAGCTCTAATTCTTTTTCCAACTACGCATTGTACTGGGACTATAGCTTTATCCAATCTAGAGGTGAGAATCATTTCATTATTTTCAAAGTTGACATTAACTTTATTTTTCTTACA